ATCCAGACCTTTTAGAATCTTCTAGACCTGGATCATGTCCCCACTTAATCTCCTTTGCACGATGCTGAACAGATTCAGCTCAGCTAACCTCTCATAAGACATTCCTCTTAGACCAGGAATCATTCTCGTAGCCCTACACTGAACCTTTTCCAAGGGAGCAATGTCCTTAAAGTATGGTGACCAAACCTGCACACAATAATCTAGGTGGGATCTTACAAAGGAATTGTAGCATCACCTCCCTTGACTTAAACTCCACACACGTAGAATTGTAACCCAACATCCTATTGGCCTTTTTATTGCTTCCCCACACTGGTGAGAGTGGGACATGGAAGCATCAACATACACACCGAGATCTTTCTCATAATCAGGGGTGGGATTACACAGCTACTGCTTTTACCATTTAAAACTGCCAGACCAGTGTTGCCAACTTAGCGACTTTGTCGCTATATTTAGCGAGTTTTTAGACCTCGTTTTCAAAAAAGCGACTAGCGACAAATCTAGCGACTTTTTCTGGTGTTACTGGAGACTTTTGGAGACTCTGACGCGAAAGCACGTATCGTCCTTATTCTTCTCACCGAGCAGCGGGTGCAGCCGTGGGCTCCTCTCCGTCCCAAAGCACTCACAGGTGTCCAGTCCACACGGAGCAGCCCCGCCCAGCTGCAGTCACAGCAGGAGATGTGCATCATTTTCTCACATTGCCATTGACAGTTTTTCATTAAATTTTCCTTTTTTGGTCCGTTTAGATTGTTAATGTAGATTTTATACAAAAACTGTTATGGTTAAAAATATTAACGGTTCAGTTGTTTACTGTGACTTGTACACTTAAGTAAACTTAAAAAAGTTACTCCGTCAGTGTGTCTCTTTGGGGGTCAGTTTTGCCGGTGATATATATATATATATAAATCCTTGTAAATATATGTATATATATTCACAGAAGAAAGTTCATTTGTAGTTCTAAACGTATCTATGTAAAAACACTTTTTGTCTCTCCTACGACATGATTCCTCTCTCCTAGAGTCAATTACAATTACATGCACGTTATGCAAATGAGGCGATGGCGTCATTTAGTGACTTCTAGCGACTTTTGGGACAGCCAATAGCGACTTTCCTTGCTGAAGAGTTGGCAACAGTGTGCCAGACCCTCTTTCCTCTCCAGCTAGAAAAGCTTGATGCGTCCGGTGACCCTGTTAAAATTATTGTTAAAAGTTTTAATATGCCTTAAACATATTTAAAATATCGCATTAATAAATTCATGTAATGTATTTGATTCTTTTAAAGACTATTGAACCCGTTTTGGTATCATATGCTTTTATCTTGTAGGCCGCAGGATGGCGCCATTTCTACCAGCTATAGACTGGGGTGTGTGTGGAATATTATGCTTACATTCTTTAATTATTGTTAGCTATACGCTCTATGTCAGACATCAGGAGCAGGCGAGTGGAGCCAAGCTTCCGGGTGAATGGGGATTATAGGGTAGACTGGCGACGAGCACCAAACAAAACTTGACACTACAGACAATACAATGACAGATCTGCGAGACAGTGGGAGACGCGGACTAATATACACCAGACAAGCCAAGAGAAACAGGAAACAGGTGATGACAATCAGGGATTAAAACGAGTTAACGAGGTGGGCGTGGCACACACGAGGATCGGACGGAGCTGGGCGTGACACTTTATAATTAACACATCTTTAACACACATTTACTTATTTACTTATTTTATACACACTTTAAAATTCAGAAAACTAGTTCCCTCAGCTGTTTTCAATAAATGATAGTGGTGTGTGGGGATTGTGGT